AGGTTAAACATAATTATAAAGCAATTAAATACAAAAAACAATTTAAAGTTAATGCAAAAAATTTGGACAAAAAAGTTTGTAGACATAGTTATTAAAACTAATTTAATTGTTTTAAATAATAGTTTAACTAATCATTTAATTAATATCAAAACCTACAAAATTAATGCCAGTAAAAGTGTAGCATTTATTGCACTACTGGTTGTATTAGCCCTACTATGCCGTACAGAATCGGCCAGCGGTCAGACGGTTGAGCTCCGGAGGTCTAAACGTAGCTTTGGTTGTAATTAAATGTTTAGCCGTAAAACAGACAGATATGAGTGCAATCAACGTTTGCATAAATAACCATGGTTTATTAATAATTACTAATTATTTTTAAAATATCAAAATCATTTATTATTCGTAATATTTGTCAATTGAAATGCTTAAACAATTTATCGGTACAAATATTTTGAGATCAAGTGTTACATAATTTTAATGGACACCAGTTTAGGACTTCTCGACAAAAACTTCTGAACAGTATTATCACTGAAAGTCGTCTTACGGCGCCTTTTAATGACAAACTTTCGCAGCGCCGGTAGTCTTGAGATCTGATCCAAACACTCGGTGTCTATAATGCTATTCATGTCATGAATGTATAGGTATTGAAGTTGTGGACAGTATTGATGCAAATCTGTCAACACATTTGGTGTCATTCGCTGTAAATCCAACTCTAAATGCGTTAATGTCTTGCAGTGAGTCAGCGGTTCCAACAGGTGGTCATCGATGGCCGCATTGGTCTTTAAACGGAAGCGTTTCATTTGGCGAAAGACACGCAACGAATCCAACGTAAACAGCGGTTCGTTAGGCAGTGACGACCACTCGAGTGACAATCGTTGCAATTGTTTGCAATTCGCGGCAATTTTACGCAAAAACACGTTCAGTACTGAGATATTGTTGCCGTCCGTTAACCGCAACGTCAACCCGAGTGTCAGTTCCCGTAATTGCGTTAATCGTGACAATTGTCCGCACATTTCGCGCACCGATTGTTTAGAAACAAAGTGACAACTCTTTACGGCCAGACTCTGGAGGCACTGATTCGCGGCCACAAATGCCGGCCAGCGATGGTTATAGTATTGTGAATGCGTTAATAACACAAAGTTACGCAAATTCTTGGCCAACAATTTGCCGTTTGATTTGTCAAAGACTTTGTCAATAGAGTCGACCCTCAAGTGTGACAATCGGTAGAACAGAGTCAGCCATTGTCTGTCTGGCAGTGCCCTAACGTTACCACCGATTCGTGTGATGAGTGGCGCCAATGAGCGCATACTTTGGTCATTGTTTTCCCACAAATCGCAGTAAATTTCCCTCAAATGTCGGCAATAGTCACGAAATAAGTACAACATTTCGGGAATGAAACTCTCGTTTGCAGTCATTATTCCTCGACAGTCAATGGTCTCAATCTTCGGACACTTTATGGCAATTGTGGCCAACATTTGAACGTCACTTCTCTTCGCATTCATTAATCTCCATATGAATCGCACGTTAAGAGTGATGTCCACAACACTCCCGAAGACAGTCCTCTGGAACTGTTTAGACACACATTCGTAACGGAATCGGTCTTCGAGTGAGAGATAAGACACTATAAGTGCACACAAATCATCACCGAATCTGTCCATTGAGTTCTTCGCGTAAATCATTGGCTAAAATGTAAAACAAAATCAATTAAAACTCAATAAATAGTCAATTATTTGTGAAATACGTGTTGAATGTGGTCTCGATTGCTGTCATCTGTGGTCTCGAGTGATGTCTTCAAGCGTTTCATGTGTTGTGCCATATCTTGGGACCAAATGAAGTGATTGTTTGAATAAATTGTATTTCTGTCGCAAAACATGTGCTAATGTTTACATTGAATTCAAAGCCAACACAAAGTTTTGACAACGAGTGAGACATCTATTGACACATATTTTCAGTACATTTTGTATCACTTTTTGTCCACACTTTCAATGAGTGTTTAATTGGGTTTTAAATACAGATTTAATTTAAATAATTATATTTATTTTAAATTAAAATTCTATATTAAAAGTAATATATTTTTATAACAAAATTAAATGAAATAAATTCTTAATAAATACTGAAGTAATAAAACACAGAAATGAATGCAAAATAATAAGATTTTAATTGGATTTCAAATAATTATATTTATTTCAAATTGAAATGCTTTTAAAAACAGATTTTATAATCAAAATTATAATTAATAAATTCTCGACAAAAATAGTGCATTAAATCCATTTTATATCACAATTATATAATTAGAAAACAACAAAAAACTTTATTTTTACCAATAAATTAAGTATTACAATAATAATTGCATTAATCGTCACTTTAATTGTGATTAATATTAATTTTCGCAAAATTTAATTAATTGTAACAAATATTAAACATTTAAAGCATTTTTGCGGTAAAAGTATTTTATGATTAGTTTTTCAATGAATTGAATGCACTTTAGTTTAAGACTTCTGTACAACAGATCCGAGAATTCATTATACGAGAGTTCATTGTATTGATTGCATTGAATGACAAGCGTTTGCAGCGCCGGTAGTCTTGAGAGGTGTGACAAACACTCGCGAGTGATGTCATAAAAGTTACCAATTAATAGACATTGAAGTCGCGGACACTTTATGTGCATATCTTTCAACACATTTGGTTTCATACGCCATAAACACAGCTCTAAATGCGTTAATCTTTTGCAATGTCTCAACGGATCCAATAACTGGTCATCGATGGCCACATTCGCTGTTATATGTAATCGTTTTAGTCGGCGATAAACTCTTAACGAATCTAATGATAGCTGAAGTACTGCTGTAGTCGGAGAGTTCAATTGAAGTGACAATCGTTTCAATCGTTTGCAATTCACACCAATTGTACGCAAACACTGGTTCACCGTTGCGGACATCTGGCCGTCCAGTAGTTCTTGAGACACTAACCCGAGTTTCAGTTCCCGTAATTGAGATAATCGTGACAATTGTCCGCACATTTCGGTCACAGGTATAGGATTTGTAAAATAATACGCCTTTAAGACCAAACACTGGAGCGACTGATTCTGTGACACAAATGCAGACCAGCGGTGGTTAAAAGAAACCAAATGCGATCTCAACACAAATGTATGCAAATTATTGCCAAACAGTGTATCGTTTGTATAGTCTGTTAAGTAGTGAAATGATTGAATCCTTAAGTGTGACAATCGGTGGCAATGAGTGAGCGCTTCACTGTCTGTATGGCAGTCAATATCACCGATTCGTGCGACCAGTGGTCCAAACGATGGCATTGTTTGTGTAGTATTTGACGTCAAATCACAATATATTTCCCTTAAATGCCGGCAATTGTCTCGAAATGTGTTCAACACTTCCGGAATGTGTTCTTCATATTCAGCGCTTATTCCTCGGCAGTCAATGCACTCAATGTTTGCACACTTTATGGCAATTGTGGCCAACATTTGAANTGTTCAACACTTCCGGAATGTGTTCTTCATATTCAGCGCTTATTCCTCGGCAGTCAATGCACTCAATGTTTGCACACTTTATGGCAATTGTGGCCAACATTTGAACGTCACTTCTCTTCGCATTCAGGAATATCTGTATAAATCTATCGCTAAGAGTGATGTCCACAACACTCCCAAAGACTGTCCTCTGGAACCGTTTGGACACACATTCGCAACGGAATCGGTCTTCGAGTGAGAGATAAGACAGTAATACTTCATACAAATCATCACCGAATCTGTCCATTGAGTTCTTCGCGTAAATCTTTGACTGAAATGTTTAACAAAAACAATGAAAACTCAATAAATAATCAATTGTTTATGAAATACCTGTTGTCTGTCTTCGTCTTTGCAGTCATCTATGGTCTCAAGAGATGTCATTATTTATTACGTCTTGTGTAAAATCTTGGGATCAAATAAAGTGATTGTTTGAATAAATTGTATTTCTGTCACAAAACATGTGATAATATTTGCATTGAATTCAAAGCCAACACAAAGTGTTGACAACGAGTGAGACATCTATTGACACATATTTTGAGTGCATTTTATAATACTTTTAAGTTTATAATTAATTTAAATAATTAATAATTATTATTAATTATATTTATTTCAAATTCAAAGTTTAAAAAAACTTTATATCAAAATTATAATTATTAAATTATCGATAAAAATACTGCACTAAATGAAATAAACGCACGGTTTAAGCATTTTTATAATTATAAATATTTAATTTTTCTAAATGACATTTAATTGCGATAAATATTTCATTTATATTTCAATCACATAATTGGCATAAAATAGGCATTAAATGCAAGAAATGTTTGAAATGAACGGAAAATTCAAACATTATTTAATAAATTCAATAATAATTAATTACTTTACAGTTAATAATAAAACACTAAATATTTGCCACATTTTTACTTTGAATAAAACTTCTTCTCATTGTTTACACGGATTTCAATTGTCTTGAGTTTAGGACTCGAAGACAACACAGCATTCAAATCAATATCCAAGAGATCAATATCTTTATGGCAGTCAATGACAAGCGTTTGCAGCGCCGGTAGTCTTGAGATGTGAGACAAACACTCGCCGTCTATCGTGTTATTCATGTCACGAATGAATAGGTATTGAAGTCGTGGACAGTATTGATGCAAATTTTTCAACACATTTGCTGTCATTTCTTTAATATAGAGCTCTAAATGCGTTAATCTCTTGCAGTGTCGCAACGGATCCAACAACTGGTCAATGATGACAGCGTCGACCTCTAAACGCAACCATTTTAACCGTCGGTAATATCCTAACGAGTCCAACGCTATCTGAAGTACCGGTTTGTCCGGTATTGCGGTTATGCTGAATGCTCTTTGAGTGACATCGAGAGACAATCGTTGCAATTGTTTGCAATTCACACCAATTGTGAGCAACGAGTGGTTGATAGGGATGTGAGAGTAGGTTAACAAACGGAGTGTCAGTTCCCGTAAGTGCGGTAATCGTAACACTTGTCCGCACAGTTCGGCCACCGCTTCTTGCGTTAGGAAAACAAACTCCTTTACGGCCAGACTCTGGAGGCACTGATTCTGTGCCACGAATGCAGACCAGCGGTCGATATCGGAGTCGGCATAAAATTTTAGCTCAAATTTATGCAAATTTTTGGCTAACAATTGATCCGATTTGCAGTCAAACGCGAACCGAATATTAATGATCCCTAAGTGTGATAATCGGTGGTATAGAGACAGCGGTCGCCCCTGTATTGGCCAGAAGCCAACGATTCGTGTGATCAGTGCTTCCAATGAACCCGTTGTTTGGCCACTAATTGGCCATATATTGCAGTAAATTTCCCGCAAATGCCGGCAATTGTCTCGAAATATGGACAACACTTCCGGAATGTGTTCTTTATATTCTCTGTCTATTCCTCGACAGTCAATGATCTGAATCTTTGGACACTTTATGGCAATTGTGGCCAACAATTGTGTGTCAATTGTCTTCTCAATCAATAATCTCTGTATAAATCGGTCGCTTAGAGTGATGTCCACAACACTCACGAAGACAGTCCTCCGGAACTGTTTGGACACACATTCCAATCGAAACCGATCTTCGAATGACAGGTAAGACAACAGAAGTTCACACAAATCATCACCGAATCTGTCCATTGAGTTCTTCGCGTAAATCTGGGGCTAAAATATGGGAAAAACACATTTAAAACTCAATAAATAATTAAATGTTTATTAAATACCTGTTTATTGTCTTCATTGCCGTCATCTGTGATCTCGAGTGATGTCTTCTTGTGTTCCATCTGTTGTGCCATATCTTGGGATCAAATGAAATGATTGTTTGAATGAATAGTATTCTTGTTATAAATTGTAAACAAATGCAAAATTACATAACATTTGCGCTGAAAAGGCGTTCAAAATGTATCGAAGTTTTAATACCATTAATAATAACACTATTTCTATGAATACTATATATTATATTGATATCGATTGAGACTAAAACTACGTCTATATAGCCATACATAACACACCACTCAATACACGCATACATTACGTTTAGTATAACTTTTTGTGACAACTTTTTGCCCACACTTTCAATGAGTGTTTAATTGGATTTTAAATAATTATATTTATTCCAAATTAAAATGTTTTAAAAACAGATTTTTTAATTAAAATTATAATTAATTAATTCTCGACAAAAAAATACTTCATTAAATCAATTATAAAACCAATTAAATAATTAAAAAACAACGAAAAACTTTATTTGTATCAATAGATTAAGTATTAATAATTGCATTAATCGTCACTTTAATCTTGACTAATATTTATTTTCGCAAAATTTAATTATTTGTAACAAATATTAAACATTTAAAGCATTTTGCGATAAAAGTATTTTGTGTTTAGTTTTTCAATGATTTGAATGCACTTTAGTTTAGGACTTCTGGACAACAGATCCCAGAAATCATTATCCGAGAGATCAGCAGATTCTGCCTCACAGTCATTGGCAATGACAAGCATTTGCAGCGCCGGTAGTCTTGAGACGTGTGACAAAGACTCGGTGTCGATGTTATGAAAGTATCCAATAAATAGATACTGAAGTCGCGGACACTTTATATGCATATCTTTCAACACATTTGCTGTCATTTTTTGCAAACAGAGCTCTAAATGCGTTAATCTCTGGCAGTGTCTCAACGGATCCAACAACAGGTCAGCGATGATCTCATCCGCTCTTATATGTAATCGTTTTAATTGGCGATAAACTCCTAACGAATCCAATGATATCTGGAATGTGGTTTCGGACAGTCCCACAAAAGTCAGTGCGAGTGTCAATCGTTTCAATCCTTTGCAATTCACGCCTATTGTACGCAAACACTGGGTCACGGCTGCGGACATCTGGTCGTCCAATACGTCAAACACTAACCCGAGTGTGAGTTCCCGTAATTGTGTTAATCGTGACAATTGTACGGCCAGTTCGGGAAGAGTATCGTTCAGATCGTAAATATCTAAAATGTTTAGACTTTTGAGACACTGATTGTGTGCCACAAATGCAGTGAATAGTTGTCTGTCTTCGGCGTAATAATAATTCAACTCAAATGTCTTCAAATTGTTGGCCAATAGTTGTCCGGAAGTGGTGTCGACGATATCGTAGGACAACTCATTGCAATCTATTGGACAGACAATCAGTGATGCGATACTTATATGGTTTACAAAAAATATTACTGATTCGTGTGACCAGTGGTCCGAACTGTTGAGACAATTGTGCCGTCGTTTCGTTGAAACGACAGTAAACTTCTCGCAAATTAAGACAATTGTCTCGCAATAATCGCAACACTTCTGGAATCTGTTCTTTGCATTCATTGATCATTCCTCTGAAGTCAATGGTCTCAATGTTTGGACACTTTATGGCAATTGTGGCCAACAATTGGGTGTCAATTGTCTTCTCAATCAATAATCTCTGTATAAATCGGTTGTATAGAGTGATGTCGACAACACTCCCGAAGACTGTCCTCCGGAACTGTTTGGACAAACATTCCATTCGAAACCGATCTTCGAGTGAGAGATAAGACAATAATAGTTGACACAAATCATCACCGAATCTGTCCATTGAGTTTTTCGCGTAAATCTGTGGCTAAAAATACAATTAAAACTCAATAAATAATTAAATGTTTATTAAATACCTGTTTATTGTCTTCATTGCAGTCATCTGTGGTCTCGAGTAATGTCTTCTTGTGTTCCATCTGTTGTGCCATATCTTGGGATCAAATGAAGTGATTGTTTGAATGAATAGTATTTTTGTTATGAATTGTAAACAAAAGCAAAATTACATAACATTTGCGCTGAAAAGGCGTTCAAAACGTATCGAAGTTTTAATACCATTAATATTAACACAATTTCTATGAATACTATATATAATATTGATATCGATTGGGACTAAAACTACGTCTATATAGCCATACATAACACACCACTCAATACAGGCATACATTACGTTTAGTATAACTTTTTGTCACAACTTTTTTGCCCACACTTTCAATGAGTGTTTAATTGTATTTAAATACTAAACAATCAATTAATATATGTTTTGATCACAATTTTAAAAATGCAATTCTTGTCCACAAAATATTTATTTCACATAAAAGTTTTAATATTTTTGTTTTACATTAAAATACAATTCAATTTACTTTTGAGGCACTGATTGTGTGCCACAAATGCAGACAACAGTTCCTTATTATCACTCGAATAGTAATTAATTATATATTTATGTAAATTCTTCGCTAATAATCAGCCGGAAGTGCTGTCAAAGACGTCGTGAAAAGAGTTGATCCGTAATTGTGATAATCGGTGGCAATGATTGAGTGGTTGGCTATCATTAAAATCAATACAATTGTTGTTCACCCGAACGGACGGATCCAATGGTCACTGTTTTTCACATACATTGCAGTAAATTAGCCGCAAATATCTATAATAGAGTCGATGTGTTGGCTAAGAATATGGTATACTTCGGGAATTCAATTCTAGTTTTATAAAATTACATTTGTTTCAAATAAATAAATTTTAATAATAAAATCACTAAACATTTATACTATAAATTTTATAGCATTTTTATTTCGAATAAAACTTCTTCTCATTGTTTACACGGATTTCAATTGTCTTGAGTTTAGGACTCGAAGACAACACAGCATTCATATCATTATCCGAGAGATTAATGTCTTGACGGCATTGAATGACAAGCATTTGCAGCGCCGGTAGTCTTGAGATGTGAGACAAATACTCGTTGTCTATAATGTTATAGAATTCACAAACGAATAGGTATTGAATTCGCGGACAATTTAAATGCAAATCTTTCAACACATTTGCTGTCATTTCTCTTATATAGAGCTCTAAATGCGTTAAACTCTTGCAGTGTTTCAACGGTTCCAACAACTGGTCATCGATGGCCGCATAGACCTCTAAACGCAACCATTTTAATCGGCTGTAAAACCTTAACCAATCCACTGATTGAATCAATGCCTGCCAAACGTGTACTCCAGACAACTTGAGTGACAATCGTTTCAATTGTTTGCAATTCACGCCAATTGTGCGCAACGAGTCGTGCACTGAGATGTGAGGGCTCGCTATCAACAAACCGAGACTCAATCGCCGTAATTGTGTTAATCTTGACAATTGTCCGCACATTTCGGGCAACGATTGGTGCGTTGAAACACAATAACACATGACTTTGACACTCTGGAGGCATTGAATCCCGGCCACAATCGTCGCCAATCGGTGTCCATCGGATTCTTCATAAAATTTCAACTCTAATTGACGCACATTTTTGACAATCAGTTGATCCGATTGGTTAAAGTCGAAGGCGTGCTGTAAATAACTCATCCCTAAGTGTGACAATCGGTGACAATGAGTGAGCGCTCGCGTCTCTGTTGAGAATAAGTGCCCGATTCGTGTGACCAGTGGTCCCAATGCGGCCATTGGTTGCCTATTCATTGGATATAAGTTGCGGTAAATTTCCCTCAAATGCCGGCAATTGTCTCGAAATGTGTTCAACATTTCCGGAATGTGTTCTTCAAATTCAGTGTCTATTCCTCGGCAGTCAATGGTCTGAATGTTTGGACACTTTATAGCAATTGTGGCCAACAATTGCAGGTTAATTGTCTTCTCCTTCCGTAATCTCTTAATAATTCTATCGTTAAGAGTGATGTCAACAACACTCCTGAAGACTGTCCTCTGGAACTGTTTGGACACACATTCGCATTGAAATCGGTCTTCGATTGAGAAATAGGATAACATGAGTCCATACATGTCATCACCGAATCTGTCCATTGAGTTCTTCGCATACATTTGTGCCTAAAATGTGAATCAAAAACACAATTACTCAATAACTGTAACACAAAATAGTTTATGAAATACCTGTCGTTTGTTGCCGTTATCTGTGGTCACGAGTGATGTCTTCTTGTGTTTCATCTGTTGTGTCATATCTTGGGATCAAATGAAGTGATTGTTTGAATGAATAGTATTTTTGTTATAAATTGTAAACAAATGCAAAATTACATAACATTTGCGCTGAAAATGCGTTCAAAACGTATCGAAGTTTTAATACCATTAATAAAAACACAATTTCTATGAATACTATATATTATATTGATATCGATTGGGACTAAAACTACGTCTATATAGCCATACATAACACACCACTCAATACAGGCATACATTACGTTAAGTATAACTTTTTGTCACAACTTTTTGCCCACACTTTCAATGAGTGTTTAATTGTATTTAAATACTTAACAATCAATTAATACATGTTTTGATCACAATTTTCAAAATTCAATTCTTGTCCACAAAATATTTTATATCACATAAAATTTTAATATTTTTATTTTACATTAAAATACAATTCAATTTACTTTTGAGGCACTGATTGTGTGCCACAAATGCAGACAACAGTTCCCTTATTATCACTCAAATAGTAATTAATTTACATTTATGTAAATTCTTGGCCTATAGTCAGCCGGAAGTGTTGTCAAAGACGTCGTGAAAAGAGTTGATCCGTAATTGTGATAATCGGTGGCAATGATTAAGTGTTTGGCTATCATTAAAGTCAATACAGTTGCAGTTCACCCGAACGGACGGATCCAATGATCACTGTTTTCACATACATTGCAGCAAATTTGCCACAAATATCTACAATAGTCTCGAAGTGTTTGTTTAGAATACGGTATACTTCGGGAATTCAATTCTAGTTTTAATAAAATTACATTTATTTCAAATACAGTGTAAATATTTGATACAAATAAACTTTTAATATCAAAAGTTAAATGAAATATTACTTATTGAGAAATATTGTAATGAAAGCACGTATAAAATGAACGCACGGTTTAAATATCACTTTAAATATTTCATTAAATCTTAAAATGACAAAAAATTTGTGCCAATATTGCGATAATAAAACTTTAAGCGATTATTTACATGCATTTCAATGCACTTTAGTTTCAGACTTTTGGCAATTAAATCATACAAATCATTGTCTTTTATATCAGTGTTTTGACGAATGAAAATGACAAGCGTTTGCAGCGCCGGTAGACTTGAGAGGTGTGACAAACACTCGGTGTCTATCATGTTATCCACGGTATTCAAGTCATGAATGTATAGGTATTGAAGTCGCCGACAATCCTTAACCCCGTTTTTTAACACATTTGCTGTCATTTTAAACAAATACAACTCTAAATGCGTTAATCTCTTGCAGTGTCGTAACGATTCCAACAATTTCTCATCGATGGTATCATATAATGTTAAATGCAATCGTCTTAATCGGCAATAATATCGCAATGAATCCAATGCTTCAACAGTAACAACGGTTTCCTCTGTGTTCAATACGAGTGACAATCGTTTCAATTGTTTGCAATTCACGCCAATTGTGCGCAAAAAGTCCCTTAACATTGATGTCTGGCCTTTCATTAAACTTAACGCGAGTCTCAATTCCCGTAATTGTGTTAATCGTGACAATTGTCCGCACATTTCGGGGAAAATGTTAATATCATCGACAATAATATCACTTATATCAAGACATTTAAGTGACTGATTGTGTGCCACAAATGCAGACAACTGTTCCTTATTATCACTCGAATAGATATCTAACTCAAATGTATGCATGTTTTTGGCCAATAGTTGTCCGGATGTGGTGTCGAAGACGTGCGGAAACTCATCGCAATCTAATGTGAGAGACAATCAGTGGTCAGACATATATATCGAGTGTTTATTATATTTACAAAAATACTACCGATTCGTGTGACCAGTGGTCCGAACTGTTGATACAATTGTGCCGTATTTTCGTAGAAACTGCAGTATATTTGACGCAAATTAAGACAATTGTCTCGAAATAATCGCAACATTTCTGGAATCTGTTCTTCGCATTCAATGAACATTCTTCTAAAGTCAATGGTCTCAATGTTTGGACACTTTTTGGCGAGGAATAACCAGAAATTTTGAAGAACACATTCCCGTAGTGTTGAACGCATTGCGAGACAAATGTCTTAATTTACGGAATATTTACTGCAATTTACGTAAACATAACGAGAAGATAATGCCATCGTTCGCACCGCTGGTCACCCGAATCGGTGACATCGAGTCCTATTATACCGCCCGACCGTTCACTCAATGCCACCGATTGTCTCACTTGAAGACCGATTCTTTGGATCAGGTCTTTGTCCGCACGTTGACAGCAGATGACAAACTAATGGTCAATAATTTGCATAAATTCGAGTTAAACTATAACTTTCCAGACAATGAGAATCAACTGTTGTCTGCATTCGTGGCACACAATCAGTCGCTAAGAAGTGTTGTCTTTCCGGAGGGTATACGCGATAATCACCAAAACCTGACCGAAATGTGCGGACATTTGTCACGATTAACACAATTACGGCGATTGAGACTCGGCTTTAATATAGAGGGTTCGCAGCACTCATTCAACGACTATTTGCGTACAATTGGCGTGAATTGCAAACAATTGAAACGATTGTCGTTTACTTTATTCACAACGAATAGTGAATTCAATGTCAAGACATTGGATTCGTTGGCGTATTTTCAGCGATTAAAACGTTTAGATTTAGAACTTTATGTTCCCATCGATGAGGAAGTGTTGGAACCGTTGAGACACTGCCGACGGTTAACGCATTTAGACATCTTTTTGCTAAAAATGAACGCAAATGTGTTAAAAATTATCAGCAAAAACTGTCCACATCTTCAATATCTATACATTCAAAACATGAATAGCATTATAGAGACCGAGTGTTTGGATCAGATCTCAAGACTACCGGCGCTGCAAATGCTTGGCATGCGTTGCAACAGAAGCGGAGGTCTGAAAGATAATGATTTCTGGGATCTGTTGTCCAGAAGTCCTAAACTTAAGACAATTGAAATCCGTGTAAAAAAAGTTAAGAAGTTTTATTCAAAATAAAAATGTTTTCATTCTTTAATGATTTCTAAATATAATTAAATTTATTAAATAATGTTTAGATTTTGCTTTTGTTTCATACATTACTTGCATTTATTACTAATTTGTAAATAAAATATTCATAATTAAATAAAGTTTATAAATATATTTAAATGATTAAATAATTTCTATTCATTTCTGTGTTTTATTAGTAATTCAGTATTCATTTATTTATTTCATCTAATTTTGTTATAAAAATATATAATATTTATAAAGTTTTTTAATTTAAAATAAATATAATTATTTAAAATAACTCTGAATTTAAAACCCAATTAAACACTCATTGAAAGTGTGGGCAAAAAGTGATACAAAATGTAATGAAAATATGTGTCAATAGATGTCTCACTCGTTGTCAACACTTTGTGTTGGCTTTGAAACAGGTCTCGGATTTATTATTGAATTGATTGTTGATATCAATGAAGACAACACAAGATGTCTCACTCGTTGTCAACACTTTGTGTTGGCTTTGAATTCAATGCAAATATTATCACATGTTTTGCGACAGAAATACAATTCATTCAAACAATCACTTCATTTGATCCCAAGATATGGCACAACAGATGACCACAGATGACGGCAATGAAGACCACATTCAACACGTATTTGATAATTAATTAATTATTTAGTTTTAATTGTGTTTTTCTTTAATTAATAATATTTTAGCCAAAGATTTACGCGAAGGACTCAATGGACAGATTCGGTGATGACATGTATGGACTCATATTATCCTATCTCTCACTCGAAGATCGGTTTCGATTGGAATGCGTGTCCAAACAGTTCCAGAGGACTGTCTTCGGGAGTGTTGTCTTCATTGATATCAACAATCAATTCAATAATAAATCCGAGACCTGTTTCAAAGCTATGATTGAAATGTTGGCCAAAAAGTGTCCAAACATTCAAACCATTGATTTCAGAGAAATGTTCATTGAATGCGAAGAACACATTCCAGAAGTGTTGCGATTATTGCGAGACAATTGTCTTAATTTACGAGAAGTTTACTGTTCTTCGTGGGAATATACGACACAATTGTATCAACAGTTTGGACCACTGGTCACACGAATCGGTAGTATTTTGCGTAAACACTAACTAAGTATCCAATCACTGATTGTCTGCCCAATAGATTGCGATGCGTTGTCCGACACTGTCGTCGACACCACTTCCGGACAACTATTGGCCAACAATTTGAAGACATTTGAGTTTTATTGCTATTACATCGAAGACAGACAACTATTCACTGCATTCGTGGCACACAATCAGTGCCTTAAAAGTCTAGGCATAAAATATATTTACGACGATCTGAACGATACTCTTCCCGAACTGGCCGTACAATTGTCACGATTAACACAATTACGGCGATTGAGTCTCGGGTTTAGGATAAAGGGTTCGCAGCACTCATTCAACGACTATTTGCGTACAATTGGTGTGAATTGCAAACAATTGAAACGATTGTCGTTTAGTTTACACTCAAAGAAAAGTGAATACAATCTCAAGACATTGGATTCGTTGGCATATTTCCGGCGATTAAAACGATTAGATCTAACACTTTATGTGACCGTCGATGAGATATCGTTGGATGTGTTGAGAGAGTGCCGACGGTTAACACATTTAGACATCTATTTGACTAAAATGAACGCAAATGTGTTTAAAATTATCCGCGAAAACTGTCCACAACTTCAATATCTATGCATTCAAAACATGAATAGCATTATAGACACCGAGTATTTGGATCAGATCTCAAGACTACCGGCGCTTCAAATGTTTGTCATTCACTGCAAGAGAAGCGGAAGTCTGAGAGATAATGATTTCTGGGATCTGTTGTCCAGAAGTCCGAAACTAAAGACAATTGAAATCCATGTAAAAAATGTTAAGAAGTTTTATTCAAAATAAAATGTTTTTAATATTTAGTGATTTTTAAATATAATTAATTAATTTTTTAAATAATGTTTAGATTTTGCGTTCATTTCATACATTAATTGTATTTTTACTAATGTTTTGTTATGTTTTAAATCCCTAAGCTGTGGTTCAGTCACACAAAAATAGAAATTCAGAGTCTGATTAATTTAAATATGACTGGATAGGTAAGATGAGCAAGGTGTCTATGTTAGTAGCAAATTATTGCTATATAACAAAATTTAAATGAAATAAATTCTTAATAAATACTGAAGTAATAAAACACAGAAATGAATGCAAAATTATTTAATCATTTAAATGTATTAAATATTTATAAACAATATTTAATTGTCAATACTTTATTAACCTTTAACTCCCGGGCCATTAACTGTATTTCACTGTACATTGTACATGCATTGGGTGGAAACTGTACCCTCAAAAAGAGAGATGAGCAAGGTAGTTAATTTGCAAATAAAATTCTGAAGTGGGTTCGAAGTAGTGTGTGAGGGCGTGTAAGGGTGTGTGTTCATGTTCACTTTAATTCTTAACAAATCAACATGTTATGTGTTATGAAACTATGTTAAATAAGGAGTCGATTAATTGTTCACATATGGCTGTCCGACTTCGGGTGACCACTTTTATCAGGAAATTTAACGTATCCAATGCTAACATGTTATGTATTAAATCAATGTAGAATTTAACGTAGAATTAAACTATCGTAATATCATCTCGATGGGGTACATAGATTTTGTGTTAATTGTTCGATACAGTTAAATCTTTAATAAAATTAGCCAAATAAGCTATTATTCCGCAAATTTTGCACTCCACACTATCATCACCACCAATCCCCGATTACAACAGCG